TAAAAAAATCCGGAAAGTTCTCGCTTCGTGATTTGTTCAATACTTCGAACGCGGCTCGAGTCCGTCCCGACCATCTGTCAAAGCCTCGTGCTGCGTACTCTCTCTCTCTCTCTCTCTCTCTCTCTCTCTCTCTCTCTCTCTCTCACACACACACACACACCGTCACCTCTCATTGGCCAGTGTTTTTCGTTAATAACTCGTAAACAAAGCCGCGGATTGCATTTTCGCAAAGGAAAAAGTTACTTCAAATGACCTCAGCTACCCATCATTTTCGGCTGTTAAAGTAATTGTGGAACACCCGGTATATATATATTAACATATATAATAAATTAAAATTAATTGAAAAATTTGTAAGAAATTCAAATACCAATTGAAAAGCAACAAAGCAGGATTGTCTTTCTCGTAGGACATTATCTTTTCCAAAATGCTTGAGTAGCTTGAATTTTCATCTTGATTAGGAAGCATATTTCTTACTTTGTAAGAAGCTAGCACTACTTTGTTAATGTCGTCGTCTTTTTCTGTGTCCGTGTCTTCACTGGTTTTCAATCTATCTGGAATCTAAATGAAGAATAATAATAATCACACACAATATTCCGCTATGTGAAATCTTCAACAACTCATTTCTAAATTTTCAAGTATTATAATGACCTGGTGAGCTCCAAATACTCTGTCGGATTTTTCACTCAAATAGAATGACCGAATCTTCTTGCGGGTGTCTTCATTAATATATACTTCCAACTGCTTAAAACTGCTTCCAACTATAGTTAACATCTTGTTAACATTACTATAACATTTCGTCTGAAATCAATCGATTAAAAGAGCATTCGTTAAAAGCATTCGATAAAATTAGGAGACTGACAAAGCATATTAAACTCTTATACGTACAGATTTATAATGTTTTGTATATGTTTCTCCTAAATAAATTGAATATATAACATCCGTTAATATATTTATAATTCCTGGCAAATTAACATTTTGTATTAGTGATTCCTCTTTAATTAAGCATATATTTTTCCAAAAATTCGTAGTAAACAATGCCCATTTCAAGACCCCTTCGGTGTTGTCTGTTACTATATCACTAGTTAACATATTCTGAACATCAAGCCGTCCATTCATAAAACTTCCAGTAATTACTTCTCCATAGACAACAATTTGCGACACTGCAGCCATCCACGTGTATATGTCAGAATCATAGAAGAATGTTAAAATAATTTTTTCTATATAACTCTTATCCACGTGAGGCTGATCATTAATTTTAAAAATAATTTCAAGGAAATCCATTGCAATGTCCAACAATATCTCATTAGTTTGTTCTTCATTCCTGCAAAACATTTTAAACGTGTAGATCAGAAGATAATGATATTTTAGAGAGAGGAAAGAAATTATTTTACGAGTTGTATATCTTTCTCCACATTATGGCTGCAAATTTCTTAGTAAGCTGAATAAATTCCAGTTCAGAGAGCTTTTGAATGGCTTCCATCAAACCATCTTTCCACACATCCCTCATTTCATCGATACAAGTAGGATCAGCAGTAAAATAGTCCCGAGTGCATAATTCGAACAGTGTCTCTAACACTCGTACAGCTCCTAATTTTGCTTCCTCGTGAGTCCATATCAATGAAACAATGCTAGAAATTAGTTGCGCGAAATCTATTAAACGGGTTTCATCTACACTGTTAATTGAGTCACAAAGAATGGACACAACTTCGTTGATTCGGCATTCTTCGATCAGCAAATCTAGGTATCACAGAAAAATTGTATATCAGAAAAAATAATCAACAATTAAAAAGAAATCATTAAATATTAAAATTCTTACTGTCATTATTGGAAGATTCGAAGGCCAGTAAAATAAAATTCCTATTTTGCTCGAGATCAGAATAGTTTCCTGCAGCAATCTCCTTCGCTATGTCTATCAATAAACCAGTTATTTTCGATTGCGAACACCATTTCCGTATTATTGTATCATTCCTATGCTTCTTCGATAAAGCGCAATGTATCACGCTTCTTGTAGTTGCAATGTCCTCAAACTAGAAATAGATATAAAATGATTAAATATGAGAATTTTCCATGTCAAGAGAGGAGCAAGACGTCTTACCTCTGTAAGCGACTTCAAAACTTCATCTTTCTCAGAGTCGTTCATATAAGTAACAAAATTGAATATTAATTCTACAATGTGCACAGTCTCTATCGATTGCTCCAACAGCCAAACCCTCAAAACTTGATCGTAGAAACTGAGGAAGTTGATTTGCGTTTTCAATGATTCTGACAAACTTGTGAATAATTTCTCATTCTCGAAACACGTGATAAGTTTGTTTAAATACGTAACGTATTTCTGAGTACGTTGTTCCGTGATTTTATCGAAGTATTTGATACAAAGATACGTGACAAAATTATTCAGTTCTTTTAATAATTCTGGATCCTCCGCATTAACGTCCATCGTCGGTGCTCGAAGTTCTAATTTGATGCCCTCTTCTGGATCAGGAAATTTCACTTTCAGATTCTTACGACTGTGCGTGGGCACTTCTTTCAGTGCAATTAAGAATTCGATCTGAGAATTGTTTGTGTCTGGAACATTAAAAGTCTCCGAATTTTGAGACATGTCTATCAGTAAGTCGAACAACGAGTTTAATTCAGACCAAAATTGTTCCATCAAGTAGATGTAGGATTTGAGATTCTCATTTTGTCGGTTCTTGCTCCAATAGCGCACTAGCTGTGCAATTTCGCAGAAAAGAATCTGTTTCATCGGGCTGTTCTCCTTCAAACATGTTCCTATCACTGGGATCAGCTGTTCTTTAAGAAGCATCACAGACAATGCTCTATTCTGAACGTTTAGCAGAATCGAATATCGTAGACATTCTATGAACGATGTTATCACAGCAAACATTTCTGATCGGCTCGTTTGCACGCTTTTTGCGGAAAGTCCCTGTCGCATATTATTGAAGAAGTTCGAGTACAAGTTCTGAACGTCGATATTGAACTTGGGGAACTGGCTCATAAGTGGCAGCAGATTTGGGTACACAATGCTGGCCGAATATTGTCCTCCACCTCGTAGAACTCGCCACAATTTTGGTAAAACCAGCTTCTCTATGCTTATAACCATATACCAGTCCTCTATTTTATTTATGGCAACAAGCATGGATTCCCAAACAGCAGACACAAGTGAAGGTTCTGTTTCATCTAAGTTGTTCATAATTGTAGTTACAGTTCGTTTCTTTTCTTCTTGTAGCAGTATATTAGCGTTATCGATTAGTGATGTTAACACATTAAAGAATGCTGTCTTTACGGGTAGTGCGTCGTACTTGATCAGCTTCCAGAATTTGTTGTTTCTTATAATTTTATAATGAATATCTAACGTCTTATCAATTTCTTCTTTGGGAACCTTCCTCAAGTAAGAACTGTAACCCTGTAAACTAGCTACAAGCACCCTTTGATACTTTGCTTCCATTTCCTCTATCGCAAGATTCCTGGTAACATAATGCATTATTAATAATCTTATTACCAGTAATGTTTCCTATTTTTTACAAACACAATACATACTTTTGTAGGGATAAAGACTGTGCTGTATGAACAGTAATATTATCACAGATATATAGCAGAATTTCATGTTGGCAGTGTACAATAGCATCAACAATTTTCTTTGGAGGAAATGTGTCCTGCAGAAAAAATTTTAATTAGTCAATCATTTTAAAACTCTTATTACTAATGAATTATAATACTTACATTGAATGAATTGGTAGCAGCTGAAGCAGCTGGAGCATAAGTATCGTACTGTGAAGTAAACCAAGCTCCTGCCAATTGTTTTAAATACATGGCTATATTTCTGCCTACGCGCTTTACCACTGCAGCATGAGCTAGCTGTGTAGCTTCTCTTACTCTGTGTTCAACATCTATAGCTAAAACACAATACAATCTAGGCCAGAATGGTAACATTCCTTCCACAACTGACAATTCAAACTCTTTACACAGGATCGCAAACTGCTGCAATGCCTATTAAACACAATATTATTAATGCATAGGGTGTCCTAGTTTAAAATAGTAACATATCTCTATGATCTTACCTTACACTTTGTTGTTGCATCTTTCTTATTCATTTTTTTTAATACTATTTGAAAGTTATTATCCACATTATTCATTTCAATCTCATTTTTACTACACAAGGATAAACCCGGCAATATAGGTACATAACCACCATCGTTCACTGCTGAGAAACCAACAAATTTGGGCACAGCAGTACCCAGAAATTCCGCACTTCTGCTACTATTTGATGGCTGAAAACGCAAATACATGTATTAACGATACAATATTTTTTTCCTATTGAAATACTTATTAATTAGACTCAAACAAAGTGATATAGGTTATCTTTATTTCAACAAATCGCATTATATATTATTATTTCATATTATTTCACATTGCTTCTTGTTTTCTTATTTCAATTTGTTAACCACGATTTAATTGTTTATAGAAATAATATGAAAATCATTTTAAAACAAGGAAAATGTTTCTGATAACAAAACTTAACCTACGATATTGTTATGGCAAAGTTTTACTTACTCTTGCATTGTTTTTCGTTCGTTGTGCTTGTTTATTCCTTCCCATGGTAATTAATAGAGAAACTATAGGAAACGATGGGTCCTGTGATCACAAATAAATTTTGTACTATGAATAACACCAAAATGGACGTCCAACTAAGCGTCCCAAACGTCCCAAATGTCACAAGCGTCACAAGCGTCCCTCGAAAACAAACTTTCAGCGTGAATGTATCAGAGTGAATGGATCTGAGTGAATGTACGTACAGTACAATGTATGCAACAGTACAGTGACATCTGTATGCACTATTGAGAACATAGCTACATGCATACATTGCATGGGAAGGATCACATTACCTATCGATAAGTTAGCGAAATTTAAAGATCAACTAAGATGCAATAATGAAATTTTATTGGAATTATAATTAGACCTAGAGATACAAAGAGATAGAAACACATTTATATTAAAAGTATATTTTATGGTAGCACATGTTTTGCAACAGTTGATTTGATATCTGACAGTTTCCACAACACGTTTCCTAACCTATCATATACAGTAGAGTGTGGAACAAAAATATTTGTCTTTGTCAAAGTTTTAAAGTATAACATGCATGGGATTTGTCTCGTATGTTTTAGAGCAAAATGACATAATAAAACTTTATGGTATACTATGCAAATACAGTAGTATATCAAGCACCAAGACAAAAATCATTTAATATCATATCAAGTAAGAAATTATCAAATCTACGAATCAATTTTATCTTTACATTTTCTCCATTATAAGAGTTACTATTTGTTGTAGGTTAGAAGAGTAATAAACATGAGCATAGGAAACAAAGTAGCCCAGAGATTGCTCTTATCATATTGCTCTTTCACTTGCATTTATTTCCCTGGCATTCTGATATTACTCAAGTTGAACGATAACTTGTACAATGTGGGCAAGTACAAGTTTATTCCAGTATTATTGATACTTCTGTTTGCAGAAGTTATGAAACTTCTTTTTCCCATGTTTCACAATGAATCGGCTATAATAGGTAAAAGTGACTTAAGGACATCTTCAAAATCTAGGAGATCTTGGTCTAGACATTTGAGGGAAATCTTTAAATTTTTATTAGTTGCATTCCTTTTGTCTGTTGTGTTTTATATTATAATTATACTGTTTGGTGCACCCGTATTCATGCATCATGAGGAAACTACTATGCTCACAGTTACACTGACTACTCTTACATTTGTTCCTGCTAGTCTTCATTTAGGAGTAGATGGTGCATTAGAAATCATAACAGGAGTACAGTCTCAAAAGGAAAATGTTTTGGTGAATGCTATGAAGACCAACATACAAGCAACCTTTCTGGGCACTTGGTTAGGTGCTATTGTAATTCCATTAGATTGGGACCGTCCATGGCAAGCTTGGCCAATCCCCTGTGTAATGGGGGCTTTACTTGGCTATATGATTGCACATTTTATTACTCTTGTAAAGACTATGTTACCTCTATTAAGATTAGGCAAGAAAATTCATAGATGAATAATTCTAAATTATCTAAATAGTATGGTAAATATAATAGTTTGTACAAGAACAAGTGCATTTAGATATTAAAATACCATTCAAGTAATCAATCTTTTGTTTTGGAATACTAAATTTAGAAATAATAAAAAGATGAGAACAAAATGGTTATGAAATTATTAGTCAATTGAACGCTATGCTATTTGAGAATTATATAATAAGATTTATCTATTTAAAGTGTCATATCAGGCCAAATGTATGATAACCAGTAATATTAGAATTTAATATCTTTAACATTTGATGACCATAGGTCTTTAAAAAAAAATGAAATAGGTATCTAGCTTTAATTATTAATTCCAGAATATTATAAATTAGAATAATTAAATTAGAATATTAAATAAAAACCTTTATTTTATTTCGAGTCAATTATTTATTCATTTGTGAACATAATGTTGTTTATCATAAGAGTTGCAAACACTAGATGTCGGTAGTATTATATTAGTATCACGTGCTAACAGACTTGCCTAACACTGCCCCTGCGCGCATGCAAATTACTTACGATTCACACGCACAACCACGACTACGTTATCGTTGCCGGCTGCCGGTGTTGAGGTCGAGGTCCATCGAGGTCGTAATCTGAGCACGTTGAGAACAGTCGAGAAAGTTCCTTGTGTTATTCAATTGATTTCACATAGTCTTTCGAATTATTGACCAGTAATTTGAATCAATTATGTCGGACACCGTTGGAAAGGTATTTATTCTTCTCGTAAACGTATAAATAAATTCTTCGATTACATGACTAAATGAGAGTGCATTTTGTTCTTTGTGAATGATAGGTAATTAAGTGTAAAGCCGCAGTAGCATGGAAAGAGGCACAACCTCTTTCGATAGAAGAGGTAGAAGTAGCTCCTCCAAAAGCTCATGAAGTCAGAATCAAAATTGTAGCTGTGGCTCTGTGTCATACGGATGCCTATACTCTGGGTGGATTGGATCCGGAAGGAATTTTCCCATGCATTCTTGGCCATGAAGGCAGTGGTATAGTAGAGAGTGTTGGTGAAGGAGTGACAGAATTCCAACCAGGTATAACTATTTCATTTAAAAAATTTTGCACCATTTTTAGATTGTTTACATCATACTAAATGGTTTCCCATATTACATTTCAAGGTGATCATGTGGTTCCATTGTATATCCCTCAATGCAACGATTGTAAGTTCTGCAAGTCTCCAAAAACTAATTTGTGCAGCAAGATACGTAACACACAAGGGAAGGGTGTGATGCCTGATGGAACTTCTCGTTTCACTTGCAAGAACCAGACTCTTGCCCATTTCATGGGTTGCTCCACTTTCTCAGAATACACTGTAGTAGCTGATGTTTCTCTTGCTAAGGTATTTTTTGTTTACAAGTTATGAGTTCATTTAAAATATATTAACTTATACTTAATTAAAGTGCAATCTTTTTGTTTTAGGTTGATCCTAATGCACCACTTGAGAAGATCTGCTTGTTGGGTTGTGGAGTACCTACTGGTTATGGTGCTGCCCTTAACACAGCTAAGGTAGAACCTGGAAGTTCGTGTGCTATATGGGGATTAGGTGCAGTTGGGATGGCAGTTGCACTTGGTTGTAAAAAAGCTGGGGCACAGCGTATTATTGGTATAGACGTGAATCCAAGTAAATTCGAGCTTGGTAAGACAAGAGAAATTTATCTATTTGTAATATCTTTTCAAAAAGAAGTTCTAAATTAAAAAATTTAACTATTATACAGCTAAAACCTTTGGATTCACTGAATTCATCAATCCCAAGGATTATGAAAGACCAATTCAGGAAGTTCTGATAGAATTAACAGATGGAGGATTAGATTATACTTTTGAATGTGTTGGCAATGTTAACACCATGGTAGAAAGTCATTTCATCATTTCAATAACTTGCTTAATTACACACAGCAGTTAGTAAATAATAAATTTGTGTGCAGAGAGCTGCTCTAGAGTCCTGCCATAAGGGATGGGGAACATCTGTTATCGTGGGTGTAGCTGCAGCAGGACAGGAAATCAGCACTCGTCCTTTCCAACTGGTAACAGGACGAGTTTGGAAAGGAACTGCTTTCGGTGGTTGGAAATCCAAAGAAAGTGTACCTAAATTGGTACAAGATTACATGTCGAAGTCGCTCATGCTCGATGAATTTGTTACACATACTCTTCCATTCGAGAAAATCAATGAAGGATTCGAAACATTACACTCAGGATCATGGTAAATTATTTATCCAATACTGAACACACTTACCGATTAACATAAATTATAATTCTGCTTCGTTTTTCTTTTAGTTTGAGAACAGTGCTCAAATATTAAGTGAGGATGCACATTTCTTCTGAGATACGATTAAAACATCTATTTTTTGTAATAATTTTGAAATAAAAGGAATATGTAATTTATAGAGGCGAGTTGGTGTGATTGAAAGTAAGAGACATCTGCAAACCAGTTTTCTACAACAATCTTTATTCATAAAGAATTCTTACAGCCACATGTACAATACCAAACTGGTGAAATATCAATAGTAGCTTCGGGATGAAGTAAAAATTCTTTACGCTTCGACCAGGTGCATACCTTACAAAAATCATCATGTTTACGAAGATCATAGACGATGATTTTCCCCATTGTATATAATTATGTATATACAACATGCAAGACGATGTTCTCGGTGAAACTATCGTATGGTTTGCGGTTTCCCGAGTTATGTTTGGTTAATCTATAATGTTGACAGTACGGCAATAAATTCAGGCTGGAAATAGAAATTGCGCTCGAACGAGTGCATGGTGATATTCGCCGATTCATTGTGGCGTCGAGTAGACATTTCTATGAATCCTTAATTTATCGCTAGACTGCCGAGGTTTACGTAACGATTACCACAAAACACCATAAAATGAAGTAGAATTTTTAGATAATATTAACAAACACATCTGCATAAAAATGATCTCAACGAGGTTAATCGGTTCGCGTTCAAATTTCAAATAATAACTGTAAGGATAAATTAGCAAGGTAACAGTTACTGTTAATTACTCTTTAGACAATGTTAATTCGCGTAAACATCTGCAGCCTATTTGTTGTTCCGATGTTTGAGAATGACGCGGTGTTTTCTGGTGCTCGTTGAAACGCGGTTTTATTATTTCTTGGACAGTTTCTTCGGTTCTTTCTTCCTCGTAGTTCGTTATACGGTCGATTAAGTTGCTCACAGAAGAGTAGAATAAATGTAGCGATCGCATATAAGAATAAGTACCGAAATCCATAGTACAGTATTGCCGCTAATTGATAACAATAAGTAATAATAGTTAAAGAACGCATGTCAATGCTCGAAATAGACACTAGAAACTGAAACATATCTGGACACGTTTCGGTTCTCTATAATGCAGATTACGTGTAATAATTTGCACTGGCTAATCCTCTACGTAAATTGCCACCTAATCGCGCTAGGGCATATTCACATAGTCACACCGATCATTTTTCATTTCTTTTTCGTTTGTTCTACAGATTACAATGTTATACCTCTAGTACCTACGGTGTACCACACACTCGTTAAGTAAAAGTCGTAAGTAAAAATGCTTATAATTACAAGTAAACGCAGACGAATCACGACGTGCTCATTATCAAATATTAAAAACGCGTTCCCCCGCGTTCCCTCGATTCTTTTCCTCGGGGGATCGAGAGGGGATCTCTTTATAGAGGTTACTCTTCTTCTTCTTTAACTTTTAAAATTGCGTGTGTGACAATCGTCGAAGGAGAAAGACAAAACGTTTGTTGAAAGGGATGAAGAACGTATCGTGTATCTTAAAATATTTTTTTTCTTTTTTTTTTCTTTTCTTTCTATTCATGTAAGGAATGCATCACGAGTTCATAGAATTCTCCTCGCCCTCCCTCGTCGTCGTGATTGAGCTGCTGCTTAGTAGTTAGCGAGTATGAAATAGGTCATCCTTTTATGCAAGTATTATCTTACACTAGAACTCGCAACGCAAGATGGCTACGAGAGAAAAGAATGAAAGCTCGAGGCAGAAGAAGAAGAAGAAGAAGAAGAAGAAGAAAATAAATAAGCGACGGAAATCTCTGGTCTTATATACAGGACGTTTTAGAAAATATCCTCCGTCGGTAAGTGCCCCCAAAAAAATTCTATTCACCTCTCCAACAAGTGTTATCATTTCATAAGGGATGTTGAATGTTGAATTAGTTTTGAACCCTCTGAATGAACAGCAACATTTTCTACAACACCCTGTATGCTTTATTTTCTTGTAGATCAACGAAGGTGTCCACCAACGGGATTGGGTCGAATCTATACTTTTGTGAGCGGAATTATAGCAATCAAGTACATCTGACCTCTACGTCTTCAAGCGTGCAACTTTCTAAGTGCGTGTTGAATTGCTGACGATCGGCCTGGTTTTCTCTCTCAGCCAGCTTGTTCTTCTTCCGCCGTATTATCGTTAGTCATAGACAGTATAATGTATTATTTATTTATATATTTATATTTATATATATATTTTTTATATATATATATATATTATGCTTAGACATTACAATTCGAGATGTCGTTAATCTAACGCGGTTAGAAATCATAATTATATAGAGCATTCTCTTTCTTTCTCTCTCTCTCGCTCTCTCTTTCTCTCATTATTTTTTTTTTGTTTCTTTGTTAAACTTTATCTCTGTTGCATCTTCTCTCGTTACAGGTATCATTAACTTCTATGCATCGGTGTGGCGTGGACATGAATTCTACCCAATGGAGAATGATCGATCTTACCGTTTCTTCAACACCTTGTAAGTGTCTCTCTCTCTCTCTCTCTCTCTCGCTCGCTTTATCTTTTCCTACCATTCTATATGCATAAATAGTGTATAACTGTATTATTTATAGACGAGTTGTGCATGGAGGTACCTCGAGGGGCACACACAGGCTAAAGGTTATTTCCATATCTTTCTTACTGCATTCTGCGCCAATTTCCATCAAAGGTAAAATGCAATCCAGTCAGAATATTAAACATTGCACGGGTTCTTCGCTATTGCACGACTGTTTTGTATACATGTGTCTGTGTATAGAGTGTGTCTGTGTAATTTTATTGCACTGTTTAGTTTCCTTCTTAACCCGTTTGGCACTTGTGTCTTTGTCATCCCAAATCGACCAGATTTTTAGCGTTGATTTAATTGTTGATTCTCTGTTTTCAGTTGGATCGAAGTTGTGCCAAGATCAGCACTCGAGGATTCAACTCGATCGCGGGTTAAGAACGATCAACCGTTGATCTTNTTGTTCTTCTTCCGCCGTATTATCGTTAGTCATAGACAGTATAATGTATTATTTATTTATATATTTATATTTATATATATATTTTTTATATATATATATATATTATGCTTAGACATTACAATTCGAGATGTCGTTAATCTAACGCGGTTAGAAATCATAATTATATAGAGCATTCTCTTTCTTTCTCTCTCTCTCGCTCTCTCTTTCTCTCATTATTTTTTTTTTGTTTCTTTGTTAAACTTTATCTCTGTTGCATCTTCTCTCGTTACAGGTATCATTAACTTCTATGCATCGGTGTGGCGTGGACATGAATTCTACCCAATGGAGAATGATCGATCTTACCGTTTCTTCAACACCTTGTAAGTGTCTCTCTCTCTCTCTCTCTCTCTCTCGCTCGCTTTATCTTTTCCTACCATTCTATATGCATAAATAGTGTATAACTGTATTATTTATAGACGAGTTGTGCATGGAGGTACCTCGAGGGGCACACACAGGCTAAAGGTTATTTCCATATCTTTCTTACTGCATTCTGCGCCAATTTCCATCAAAGGTAAAATGCAATCCAGTCAGAATATTAAACATTGCACGGGTTCTTCGCTATTGCACGACTGTTTTGTATACATGTGTCTGTGTATAGAGTGTGTCTGTGTAATTTTATTGCACTGTTTAGTTTCCTTCTTAACCCGTTTGGCACTTGTGTCTTTGTCATCCCAAATCGACCAGATTTTTAGCGTTGATTTAATTGTTGATTCTCTGTTTTCAGTTGGATCGAAGTTGTGCCAAGATCAGCACTCGAGGATTCAACTCGATCGCGGGTTAAGAACGATCAACCGTTGATCTTTTCATAACTCCTGATAGCTTCTGAAGAGGACTTCTTAGATTAGAAGTAATAGCCGTGGCTTCTTTTCGAAGCGGAGCTCTTCCTTTACATTTATTAGCGTTCTTTTTGTTTCGTTGCTCTACGAACTGGCATTTTTTAGGCTCGCCGCATACAGCCTCCTCCGCCCTGATTCACCGAAGACACCTCCAATCACAACGGCGATGATCGATACGACCGGACGACCGGACGAGCTTCCCCCGTCTCTCGCCGTTGGAAAAGGGAACCTCGTCGTCCGACCGTACGATATCACGTCAAGGTACTGCTCCCGGTTAGCTGCTGCTGTATTCTCTGTGTCGGTTGGCTGATCCTATGGAGGTTTAGAAGTCTAACGGTTGATCAGCAGACCCTTCAAGATCCTGAGTCACATCTGTACCTCCGTCCTCGTCGTCATCCAGATCCACGCTGTTGGTCTTCAGACCTCCGCTGCTTATCTTGTTCACTATCATATCTGAAATGTTAACGATACATTAATAATGGTTAATACGTATTAATAATTGCTATTAATTGGATGATATGTAGGTGGCCATAACCACCTGGGAAGCCTTCAGAACGACATGAATAACTAATTATATTTTTCACCAATAAGGTAGATAATTAATATTTAATTTTTGAGGCATAATATATGCACTTTTATCATTAAAGAATGTAGATTGAAGTCTTAGCTACAAATCTACTGTAGTTATGTACATATTTGAGTTCTAATTAGTTAGTTATTAATGATTTTTCTAAGGCACAGTTTGTGTTGGTGGAAATACTATTAATATCATAAGCTAATACCATCCATTATAAGATCAATCAGTATACTTTTGCAATGAAGAAACATAGTATGAAGCTTTACAGATTTTCTGATAATAATTTGAATCAAAATTTAGTTTGCGTTAATAAGTTATTTATGATTTTTCACGGGCGTATTTTTTTCTCCATGTCATACTATGTGCAAGACAAGGATAGCCGATTGTGCGACAAGGATAGCGATATCTGATGGCGCCATTCACGGCAAGTTGCTGAAACTGGTAGCGAAATATTTGGCTACCAGTTTCAGCGTTCCGCCACAGAGGGTACCACCAGTGCTCGGCGAGTAGTTACAGCGCTCCGCCACGGATGGCGCCACCAATACTCGGTTAGTAGTTTCAGCGTTCCTCCACGGATGGCGCCACAAGTGCTCGGCTAGTAGTTTCAGCGTTCCGGCACGGATGGCGCCACCAATGCTCGGCTAGTAATTTCAGCATTCCACCACGGATGGCGCCACCAATGCTCGGCTAGTAGTTTCAGCATTCCGCCACGGATGGCGCCACAAGTGCTCGGCTAGTAGTTTCAGCGTTCCGGCACGGATGGCGCCACCAATGCTCGGCTAGTAATTTCAGCATTCCACCACGGATGGCGCCACCAATGCTCGGCTAGTAGTTTCAGCATTCCGCCACGGATGGCGCCACCAGTGCTCGGCGAGTAGTTTCAGCGCTCCGCCACGGATGGCGCCGCCTATGTTTCAGTGTTCAGCCAATAGAAAAATAGTTTATTTTCTATTGGTCGACCGCGGTGAGAAAGGACAACGACCAATATCAATCACTGTCTAGGATCATTGGAGGGAGAGCGGATTACAACAGATGTCGAAATGTAAATACGATGCCACTTCCTTCGTTGAAAGGGCAATCAATTGGACGCAGCTTTCTCTCTTTAAGAGAGGTAGAAAGAATCTTACCATTTCTCTATGAAATTTGGCAATTGATGTGGTAATTGATTAGTTAGTTATTAACGATTTTTCATGTTTTTATTTCTTTCTCTTATGCCGTACAATGTTTGCGATAAACGATTTTATTGAGGTTATATTTGCTTGCGTAGAATTGATGTTTGAAAAATCGTTAATAACTACTTAAATAGTTGAAGATTCTTTTTCCAATTGAATCCATCAGAATACATCTAATGCTGTGATACGTTTCAGAACAGACTCTAATCCTTTCCCATGCTTTGTTTCAGGGACTAGCCAGACATTCAACTACGCACGATGTTAAAGTGCGACGCGTGCAACTTTCCAAGGTTTTATCGTCAACCAACGTTCGAACCTACCGCAGTCTGGTTTGCTGCCACGTGTTCTGGTACCGGCGAACTCGACGCCGTGGGGGTCGACACACCAGCAGAGACCAAGACCACGATGACACTGGGTACTTCGGTAGTACCCTCGAGAATCGCAGGCGGGTGCAACGTCCGGTGACGATCGCTTGCGCACGGCGGCGCAGGGACGTTCAGCTTTTGAGAAGCAGCCGCACCATTCGGGTCCGTTCACGAAGATGTCTCTGAAAGTATCATTCTTATTGACTATCCAACATCCGTACTCCGTCATCTATCTAACCGGTAAAACAATTAATAGGTTGAAAGGGGTACAAGTCTCGATATCGAAGGATCAATTCGAGCAATCTGCGTTGCATTCGGACACACGTCAAAGGACAACGACGGGACAATGCCATTGGGCGTCGCCATTGGCCTATCTCGGCGGAGCAAACCACCACACGGCAACGAAGACCTCGTAAAGCGAGAAATAAACGGCATAGTAAAGTAGCAAAGTGACTCGCGTATGCGTTCGGGAGAGGGGACGAAGGGGGTAGATGAGACAAGCTTACGCGATCGCGGAGTCTCTCCAGGCAACTTCTCGACTCGCATCTTTTCGTTATTCCGCGTTCAGCTGTTTCATTCGCGACAACGAATGCATCCGTTCGACTTGCTTTTCACACGTATCCGTGCAATCATCCTCTCCCTAACAATCAGTCGGCTACTTGGTCGGGAGGCACGTACGCTCGAGACCTATTACACTCGAGCGTCCGGCGCGGCACGACACGACACGACACGACACGACGACGACGTCCACAACCCTCTCACCGTTGCGGGATGGCGACGGTATTAAAAACTGAAAGGGTTTCTCGTTCCCTTTCCGGGTCACGTGTCCCGCGAGTTTAATGATTTACAAGCAGTGGGACGGGGTTACATAAAGGGGGAAGAATCCGCGATGCGACAAGCGGATTACAACGCGAGCAGGACGTGTCTCTCGCTACGTGAACGGAATCGAAGGGGTTGTCACGCCCTCTTAGCGTTTCCAATGCCGCTTATCGACGTCGCGACCGTCCGAGAATCGAGCCGGGTGCCACGGCCGAAGCTCTCGACGGATTTTAAACGGTAGCGCCCGCTAGAGACCGACGGGTCTTCGACCTTCTTATCCGGCGGATTCCGGAAGACCTCGAATTCGAACGAGCTTACACATTGTCTGCGCGAGCCGAGACAGAGGATAGGCGAATTTTAATACTCGTTCGCCGGCAGGAACGCGAAAAAACGGGTTACAAGGACTGGGACGCGTCTCTCTACGTGCTCGGAATCTCGCCGAGCTACGAAAGGGGTTGGTCCGTTCCCTCTTCGCCTTTCTCTCTCTCTCTCTCTCTCTCTCTCTCTCTCTCTCTCTCTCTCTCTGTTCCCTCTCGGAGAGACACGCGGCGCGGGCACTCACCCGTCTGTGTCGCAGCCGTCCAAGAACGGCTTCAGACACGGCTCGTTCTGATCGTGTTCCAGCCCGTACAACTCGGAAAGGGAGAGCCGGCCGTCGTTGTCGCTGTCCAAATGTCCGAACATCCACCTGACCTCGCTCTGGCAGCCGATGGGGAGGTGACCTGGAAAACGTCGTCCGCGAAATATGAATTACAATGGCCACATCTACGCGACGAACTGCGCCGAATCGAATCGAATTGTAGCGAATCGAATCGCGATTTCGCTCGCTGGTAAGTATATACCTATTTCAGTCTCGGCCCTTGGCACGTTTGCCGTCTCTCTCGAGAAAGTACAAATAATTGTTTACCGTTTCCGTAGAACGTCGGACGGCTTTCCAGTTCCTTTGAAACCGGCGGAGGCGACCGTCTTCCAAGGGATTTACAGGCTTCGACCGGAATTATCGAAATTGGAGACGGAGGCAGACGGAGGTTCGAGTGAAATGTAAACGAGGGACGCGCGTAACTGTTGTTCGAATTCGACCGATCGACCGGCCCCGCAACTACCGTAACTCGGGGCTGAAGGGTCGCAAGATCACAGGGACAGAGACGTCGAAGGGAGAGGATCGGGGAGGAAGGTACAGGCCCGGAGAACAATATCGCGGGAGACACGGCAAAGTAATCGCGCGCCGGATCCCGACGGGAAGCGATTCATCGCAACGGGACAATTCCGAACTGGTACGAAAGCGATTGTACCGAAGTCGAATGCCGTGCGGCGACGTGTGGCAGTTCGAAACTGTAACGTCCAGGAACCCGTTCCGTCTCGCGCGGAGCAATTAGTCTCTTGTACATATTCGGCCGCGATCCTCGGTTCACGGCGGCACGGCGTCTCCGCTATAATCGCCGCGAACACCGCGCCGGCTTTCCAATTTGTATCGCAAGGGTTGTCTCTCCGCGCCAGGGCTGTCTTCAACCCTTCGCCCTTGGCGAGACCCGTTCGCGCATACTTTTTCTTCGATGCGAGAATTAACCCTTTGCGCTCGAGCGGTGATTCCGAGGCACCGCTAAATTGTTATATCACGTTCTAAGATAATTTTTATATCAATCAAAGCTTAGATTTGAAACGTTACCGAAAGCGTAGCTGTTGCGTGAATCGGAACGCTTGATTTCGTACGCGTAAAATACACTTTGCCGTGTAAAATGAAGATAATAGAAGTCGGAAAAATTAGTTTAGATTTACAGATTAAATGGGTTCGAGTGCGAAGGGTTAACGCGAGCACTAATCGCTAATAAACGATCGCGAGGGGGAAGGACACCGCGATCTCTTCGTCCTATTCTCTTCGTTTCCCCGGTGTATCGGTCGCGATTCGCGTCGAAAGCCCGAGCGGAGCGATCGTTTCGCTCTCTCCGGGAGAGCGAGAGTTTGTTATGCAAATAACCCCGACACCGACCTTTTGGTTTAGGATGCGGACGACGGTGCTTCGAGTCGGACATCACGACGGAGAACCAGTCCAACAGTCGGTTCGCCATCGCCGGCTTGAACGACGGCGGACAATCAGCGTTCCGGGACAACTGGGAGTTGTAAGTCGACTTCAACGGGGACGGCGTCTTCTCCATAACTTCGTTGCTCATCAGATGCTTGTCGTCGTATTTGCTCTCGGCCGCCAGCGCCTGGAAAAACCCAGAGGAACTCCGGTGAACGACCGACGGCTACCCTAATTGGATGGAACCAGCCTTTCGTCTATAATTAATTGGTCGAAAATATGACCGATATTTCTGCACGCGAGAAGCTTGTGATTTAAAGACGCCTGTGACCGGAGCAATTATCTCCAAGGTAACGGCGCGTTCGGAGACCTTTTTTTTAATAATCTCTGCGCGGGGCACAGCAGGATCTTCTTATAATGCGACAACTATAGTCTTTCTTTAACGCTGGATTTACGGAACCCGTCGAAACGACGGGTCACTAATCTTTTAATTTACAATCATTCGTATTACGATACGATAGATATATTTGTGAGTTATTTATTCAATTTATATGTTGCTTGCGGCAAATATTACAATAACGCTTGCTCGAGAGATAGGAATAAAATGTCTTGTATTGTTATTTTTACAAATTAACGCTTCTGCGACCGCGCTAGAAACCTGAAGGATTTTTATAAAATTAAAATACTTCATTCGATATTGAGCAAAGATTGCGAAGCAAGCGTATATATAGCATCAGTTACTTCTCAATTATTTCTTCAATCACATCATCCATTCGGTCATTAATCTACTGAATTAAAAACGGCAAGATCTTTCCATTCGATTGACTAAGCGTTAAATATAAAACAGCTGTTTTTCGTGCTCCGTAAATCTAGCGTTAACGCGACAAAATAATACACAATTCATCGCATTTCGGAACAATTTCTCTGTAGAATAAATATATAGAGAGTGCCGCAGTGCCGCGAACATTCGCTAGCTTATTTATTTATTTATTCTCTCGTCCCCTGGAAGAAGAGGGCGACGAAAGGGTTTTCGCGAAACGATCGCGATTCTTCGGTACGAATTTTGTATTTATCGAGCACTGACGATGCAAATGTTGCAGATTCGGTCGACGACTGGTCGGAGACGCGTCGTCGTCGTCTACGCGGGACGCAGCATCGGAGCGTAACGATATTACGGCTCCCCGTCGTCTGGCGACGTGCTCCTTCGGATCGATGGCGAGGACGCCTCGCCTCGCCTCGTCTCGTCTGGCCTCCTCGAAAATACGAGCCATCGAGAACGCTGGGAGTTCTAGTGGACCAATGGGAACCGTACGAGGGATGCTCTTCGACGTTCTCGTAAAGGAGCCGACTCCCGATTCCTCGGCGAAGCGTCTGCAGCGTATCACCGGAATCGTAACTCGCCGGCTATTATTGTTTTCGCCGTTCGAAAATAATCTGCGGACCGAGGGGGATGCTCGGCATCGTCCCACGATCCGAGAGCGATGACCCAGAGGATTTGCTCGATCCACTCTCCGGGGCAGATTCGATTGATTTCCATCAAGATCTCTGTTGTCGAATAAAGATCGTTCGGAAAAGTCTGCTCCGCGATTGGTCGAGATCTCTCCTCTTTTCCTCTGCCGCTACAGAGGATTGGTTTAGGGCAATATTCTCGTGTAATATTTCAATTAGTCGGCATCGGATTCGCGCGCACGATTAAGCGAAACCGTACAGGGATCCGCATTTAATAATCCCGGCGGCCGACGATGTAAAATTAGCCCGATAATTGCCGCGAACGATAGCGGTGTGTCGGTCGATAATTTTCCTTGATCCTGCGCGCGCGTGCTCTCTCTCTCTCTCTCTCTCTCTCATGGAAATCCGGCTTATGAGCAATAATTGATGCAGCGAGTAATCCTTATCGCTTCGTTTCCAAATCCGTGTCCGCGTTCGCGTCCCCGGTTTTCCCTCGCGATCCACCGATCGAGCACGGGATCGCGGAGTTCGCACGCGCGAACGTTTAATTACTCGGGGCTTCTCTCGACGATGGGATTTTTGGCGAGGCAACCAGCGTCGGGCCGATACCCGAATCGGAGAAACCGACGAGCGGGAGAAGGAACGTCGCGCCGCGAACAAGGGTTCCAGGGATTCGAGTAGAAATCGTCGGAATTTTAATTAGTCTTTCGCGTTGTGCTCCATCCTCGACGAGGAGGAGCTGCCCGAGGATTTCTACGAGGGTTCCATGGTTCGATAATCGATTGGCCGGCTAATTGCGTCGTACGGCTCGCCGAGTACAGATGTCCGGAGGAGGCAGGAAAAATCGGCGAGACGTCCTCGAGGGTGGATTTGTTCGACGCTCTCTCGGCCGCCGAACGAAGAGAACTTTTAACGAGACGCGCGGAGGACCTCGTGCCGCGGAGAGAACACGTCCATCGTTGTCGGGGGTTTAATCGTTGCACCGTCGTTTTGTTTTCTCTGAAGATCAACGCGGAACGAAGTTCGCAGACGCGCGGAGGACCGCGCGAAGAAACGGCAAGGGGGGACGACGCACGGCGGGGTAGTTTTTTTTAAAAGGACAATGGGCGGGAGCGAGACGGCGGAGAGAACACGATGGATCCGGTCGCTGAGACAAAAGCGACGAATGCCGTCGAATAATCGAGAACGGGAGACACACCGGAACGAAACGGGCGATGAAATGTTCATTGAATCGACTACTCCATTCAAATGACAGCGCCGAGCGCCGGAAGAGTTATCGAACAAAAGCTTTTGTCGGTGAATGCCTTTTAAATTCGGAATCCGTCACTTTGTCGCTCTTAAATCCCTTTTTTTCCACTCGCGCCCCAGCCTCAACCTTTGCCGGATTCTTCTTTCTCGGCCCGGCGTAGTTTTGCTTCGTCAATCGCGCTTTTCACTTTCGGCGCTCGTTCGTTCGTTCGTTCATTCGTTCATTCATTCCTTCGTTCGTTTGTTCATTCGTTCCTTCGTTCGCTCGTTCATTCGATCGTTCATTCGTCCGCTCGTTCATTCGTTCGTTCATTCGATTGTTTATTCGTTCGCTTGTTCATTCATTCGTTCGTTCGTTCATTCGTTCCTTTATTCGTTCCTTCGTTCGTTTCTTCGATCGCGTCTTCGTCTATTCGTCAGTTCGTTCTTCCGATAGTTTATCCGTTCGATCGCGAGTACTTGAGGACAAGACAGCTCGTCCTCGGTACTGTTCCAGACACGCACGAGTGCACGTGATAGGCACGCACGAGAACCCTTCGCACGTGAAGATCAATCGTCTCCAATATCGGGACAGCGCATGAAAGGATATGTATGTTAGTGCAACGGCGTAGGACAGCTCGGTAATTAGTCGGACAAGCACCGGTTGCAAGTATACAGGTCCATCGTTAGTCAGAGGGGCACTGCAAATCACAGCAGATAAGGTGCAGAATAGTACAGCGGCTGCGTTCGTCAGTTAAAACCATAAGAACGATACATACACGTAGAATAAGCAATATAATTATTGTAAAATGTTGTATCAATGTATATTCTTAATTATGAATAAATATATGTATTCCGAACATCACCGTCTATTTATTTTACCCATACACCCCTCCTAAGTCCAAAAATGTCTCCGAAACTATTCGCAATTATGATTGACTTGTACTACTGAAATTTCGAAAATGGGGAATTTTTCGGAAGAAGTAGTACAAGTCAACGTCAGGCCAGGCATTTTAAAGAATACCTCCTCGCACATCATGTGCTCCTGATACCAAAATTCGAAATTTTCCCGAAAATTTTCGAAATTTGTCCCGCAAGTAGTACAAGTCAACGTCAGGCCAGACATTTTAAAGAATACCTCCTCGCACATCATGTGCTCCTGATACCAAAAATCGAAAATTTCCCGAAAATTTTCGAAAATTGTCCCGCAAGTAGTACAAGTCAACGTCAGGCCAGACATTTTAAAGAATACCTCCTCGCACATCATGTGCTCCTGATACCAAAAATCGAAAATTTCCCGAAAATTTTCGAAAATTGTCCCGCAAGTAGTACAAGTCAACGTCAGGCCAGACATTTTAAAGAATACTTCCTCGCACATCATGTGCTCCTGATACCAAAATTCGAAAATTTCCCGAAAATTTTCGAAATTTGTCCCGCAAGTAGTACAAGTCAACGTCAGGCCAGACATTTTAAAGAATACTTCCTCGCACATCATGTGCTCCTGATACCAAAATTCGAAAATTTCCCGAAAATTTTCGAAATTTGTCCCGCAAGTAGTACAAGTCAACGTCAGGCCAGACATTTTAAAGAATACCTCCTCGCACATCATGTGCTCCTGATACCAAAATTCGAAATTTTCCCGAAAATTTTCGAAATTTGTCCCGCAAGTGGTACAAGTCAACGTCAGGCCAGACATTTTAAAGAATACCTCCTCGCACATCATGTGCTCCTGATACCAAAAATCGAAAATTTCCCGAAAATTTTCGAAAATTGTCCCGCAAGTAGTACAAGTCAACGTCAGGCCAGACATTTTAAAGAATACCTCCTCGCACATCATGTGCTCCTGATACCAAAATTCGAAAATTTCCCGAAAATTTTCGAAATTTGTCCCGCAAGTAGTACAAGTCAACGTCAGGCCAGACATTTTAAAGAATACTTCCTCGCACATCATGTGCTCCTGATACCAAAATTCGAAATTTTCCCGAAAATTTTCGAAATTTGTCCCGCAAGTAGTACAAGTCAACGTCAGGCCAGACATCGAATTCCGAAAATTTTCGGAAAAATTTCGAAAATTCTATCAGGAGCACATGATATGCGAGGAGGTATACTTTTCGAACGTCTGGCCTGACGTTGACTCGTTCTACTTTCTCCGAAAAATTTCGGAAAATTTCGAGATCTCAGTAGTGCAAATCAATAACAGGCAAGACAATGGAATTTATAAGGATACCTCCTCGAGATTATGTTCTCCTGATACTCGAAATTCAGTAGTACAAGTCAATCGAAAGTCGGACAAAATAAAATGCAGATAAAAATGTGTAAATTGCGGCAGAAATGATTCTGCAAGTAGTACAAGTCAACGATGAGTCAGGTGAGGGAAGGGAAAGGAAGGGAAATAATAAGAATTAGATCGAGAACTTATTCTGGTAACACAGGCAATTTATTAATAAAATGTTACATTTGATTAATACACGTAGACTTAAAAGTAATTAGCGACGTTGGTTAAAATCAGTT